TGAATCGAAGAATTTGGTTGCCTTTTCCAGCGACATATTCTACATGTTTTTGCCAACTACATTTGCTAGATATATGCACTCCCAAGTACTTGAATTCTTGAACAGCGTTAATCTCCTCGCTGTTCAAAAAGTATGTAGGTGCTATATTCATTTTTTGTCTAGACATACGCATGATGGCACATTTATTAACATTGATAACCATTTTTGAGTCTTGGCACCATTGAGATAGTTCATCAAGGTTTGCCTGCAAAACACTATTATATGTCTCGTTACCTGAAACATGTGTATAGAGAACTACATCATCTGCATACAATCTAACTGAACAATTGATTTTGTCTGTGAGGTCATTTATATATAAAATAAATAGAATGGGACCCAAAACACTTCCTTGCGGTACACCCGACGTTACTTTAATGGGTTCAGAAAAGCAATTATCATTTACAGTATTGATCTGATGCAGTTGAAAGGTGTGCTGCGAAAAATTATTTAAAATATAGATAAGTTTCAAAAGTTAAATTTGTGTGTTGCATACTGCTTACAAGGAATGTGGCTTCAAATAAAATTACGGTTTTCAAGATAATTAACTTTTGTCTTGATTTACAGCCCTCATTGTAACTAAGGTCAAATCACGACCAGGCACCGTAGCTCAGCTTCTCCAACAAGTTGGTGTTTGGACGTTTGTGGTTTTAAAGTGTGTGGTCTGGTGGAAAAAAGAGTGTCACATTTCAGATGCTGGGATATTTAGCTACAAAATACGCCAGTATTTATTCATATTTGCCATCATTTTTTCGGGCCCCTGAAGCGCTAGAATGCATGGATCGCCTACAGTGCACTGGGGCGAAGGTTAATATGAGCCGCGTCGTCTGCCCGGCGCAGCCAGCTGGCGTCTTCCACCGTCTCACCGTCCACTTGACAGTCACACCGAGTGCCAGTGAGCTCGCGTCGGTGTATATTGTCATTGTGTCGCCGCTCACGTTCCAGCGCCCCCTGGCTGGGTCGGTGGCGTTCACGCTGGCCACCAGCTCCTCAACCAGCTGCGGCACGAGACCCCCTTCGATGGGGTCATCCCAGCGGCTCGCCGTTTCATTCGCCAGTCGTTTGACGAACGACGCGGCCGGGCGGAGCCAGCCACACACCGGGTAATGGCTTGTCAGCTGCCCGCAGATGGAAAACACCTTGCGCTTCGTCAGCGGCTTCGGCACGTTCTTGACATCGTTGTCTCGGCCCCACCGCAAGTCTCCATCGGGCTCTCCCCAGAATCTCAGCCCGAGGATGCGGGTGCCGTCGCTCGCTCGCTGTGGAGCCTTGCTCTCCAGCCCGTAGATTTGGAGGTGTTCGGCGACCTGGGTGGCAGGCAGTTTGTCCTCGTTTACCAGGATGTCGTCCACATAGGTGGAGACGGCCGCTGCAACCCGCGGGTCCTGAGCCACGGTCAGGTCCAGCACCGCCTGCATCACCGACGAGGCGACGCTGATGCCGAACCCCATCCTGGTCAGTGCGTATCTCCTGCCCCTGAACCAGACAGTGTGGTATGGCCAGAGGGCCTTCTCGACGTGAATTTGAAGGAAAGCCTTTTTCAGGTCCAGGAGCGCCACGGACGCTCCCATCTGGCGCCACCGGCGTAGCCGCTCTGCACAAACATCCGCGTCACCAGTGAAGGCCGGCACGTGCTTGTTCAGAGATCGAAAGTCCATCACAGGCTTCACTTTTGTCCGCTGCATGACCGCCATCAGCGGTATCGAGCCCATGGCCGGACCCAGCTCTTCCTCGTCATATTCACTTAGCCAGCCGTCTCTGATCCAGTTCTCCAGCTCAGCTTCGTACTCGGCGCGTGCCTCCTCCGACACCGGATACTCGTCCACCGCGCCGCCCAGCTCACCCGGCGCTCTGCCCCCAGCCCACTTCCACGACATCACCCACCGCCGCCGGGTCGGGTCGAACGTCACCACAAAGTCTTCCTTCTCGATTTTCAGTCCCGTCTCCTCGCCTGTGGCAGCACACGCCACCGACCGACGTCCGAACTGCACATCACTCACGCTCGAGCCGAATAACTCGCATCCGAACTGCACGTCAGAGGGCGAGCGCACGGTCACTCCCCCCAGCGCACGGTAGGCGATCGGGCCGGTCTAGCCTCGCGAAACCTCAAAGACACTTTTTTCCGAAAATTGGAAAACAACGCATACTAGTCGACAGAAAATTCATCAAAGATTACGATTAGTGCATTTGCATGGCTCAGGAGACATTTTTTCGTAGACAAAAGTATCGTTAAAGACAGCGTTCCGTAACACTTCATAGTGGGGATAATCACAGCCGATTTGTACGCTCTTTGAATATTTTGCGGAACGATGAAATTGCTAGGTGCTGAGCATCCATTTTGCATGGAAAGTGAAATTTAGATGTTTAGATGATTCCGCCATAGAAAGCAATTAGACAAAATCAGTTCAAAATGTCTTATAATTAGGTTAACTTTTTATATTTTTTTCTACCACTGAACATTACGTTCACTGAATTAACCAAGCCCAGCAAAAAAAGTTTTACGAGGATGAACTGAAAATAATGCTGTATCGCATGCACTAAGACACTATCTATTAGGGGAGCCAGTGAAAATTTGCAGCCACTTGCAGCCCTGGCATCCAGACACTTTTTTCTTCTAAGGGTTGACCGTGGCTTGGTGCACTTGAGCACAAGTGGTAAATGCCCCAAAGGGTGTTTTCACGATAGCTCAAAACACCCAGGCAATAGAGAGCTGCAACTTGGCATACCTGACCTTTGATGCACGCTGGATCTTGTGACACCAACCGCACTTTCAAGTCAGGTCAGGTCACTGACCTATGACGTCATAAATGAACCTCTGCACGATCCTCAGATGTCGCAGCCTTTCAACGCTCTCAGTGCCAGAGTAACTTTCACAGGGAGGTGAGACTTGCAGGACTTATTGTCCTTTAGAGGTCTTACAACTTTTATATCTCAGATTTTTCCTAAATGTCACAAAGTCAGGTTGGTCACGTGACCTCACCTATAAGTCAATGGAGAAATATGAAAACTGTTATTTTGGCGCCAGGAATGATATTCAATTGTCTCAAGTACATGGAATCGTTACTTCATGCACTCCTTGCAAGATCTGATGCTGCATTTTTTCATTGTTGACCTTGCATGACGTCATTTATGACGTCACTAGGGTCATACGAGTTTTTCGTCAATAACTCCCGATCAAATTGAGCTAGAGAGTCGACAAGGTCACCAATGGACTCCAGAAGACCTGCCGAATCGAATGATATGCGATATGACCTCCTTTGACCAACTTCGTGATTTGAAGACCTCTGACCTGACCTTGACTCGAGGTCAACACCTTACAGTGGCCTCACCTGAACAAAAAGTATACCATTCGACGCGCCTGAGCAAGGCAAACACGACGATGTCAAAATCGTGGTTCTGCGGCCATTTTTTTGCGAAGTTATTTACCAAAAACCAAACCCGCTGCTTGGGTCACGTTATGAAATGGGGCCTTGCCGGGCGAGATTTACACTGTTTCATGATATGTATAAATTGGTAGGGCATAATCGTTTGAATAAAAAGTTGGTTTGGAAGCAATTTTCTACGGAGGTACACACCATTTCAATGTCCTACCCAGCTCATATCGTCATAAATTTCGACCTACCCTCAAAAGTATTCATGCATTATTCGAGCGGCAATAAGGCAAATTGCAAGCTCGCCACAGAGCACAAATCCTAAAAGAGATAGTCCTTATTTAAAACATATGCTCATTGGATATTCAAGAAGGTTGCTCCTAAATTTTGTGGTCCTAGCTTCAAAAACATGGAAGTTATGAGTGCCGATAGGTTTCGCGAGGCTACACCGGCCGGATCGCCCACTGTGCAGCGATCGGACAGCGTCCATTCCCACGATCACCGCAAACCTGAGGGGCCCTTCCCTTATAACAAGGGCGCTCACCTCCACTGCGCGGCAGCCCGGCACCGCGAGCCGAACTTCAGCGTCGCCCTCGCACTGCAGCCGCTGGCCGTTCACTGTGATCACCTCTGCCGCGCTCCTCCGCCACTGGTGGCACACCGACTCGTGCACTAGGGTCCGGGTGCACCCAGAGTCGATCAGTGCCACACGTCAACATCGCGACCCTCCGATCTCCAGCTCCCTGGTTGGAAGCGCGCCGGTGAGGTAGCTCAGTCCCGAGAGGAGGCCGGCGCAGGCGCCTCCCCTCGCTCGCCGGTTGGGCAACTTGCAGCGATGTGCCCCCACACTCCACAGCCGTAGCATTGCAGGGCGGGGAGTCCATCCCCGCGTGCAGGGGCCGGCCGACCACCGCGTCCCGGTGCTGGCTGTTGCTGACTCTTCCCGAAGTGTTCGGATCGGGGGCAATCCCGTGCGACGTGGCCGATTTCACCGCAGGAGAAGCACGGCCCCCGCCGCCTGGCGCCGCGGCCGCCGGGTGGCGCCACCTGCATCCGACGTGTGCCGGCCCGGTCTGCGAGCTCGCCGAGAGATAGCGAGTCGACCCTGGCTCCAGCTTTCAGGACCTGTTTCGCGGCGATCGGGAGGCCAGCCACAAAGGCGCAGGACAAGCCTTCCTCGCTCATTCCCCCCAAAAGGGCCGCGAGCTGCTGAAGTTCAGCCACGTAAACGTCCACTGATTCTCCGTCACGGAGCCTCCTGTCCATGAATCGCTCGTAGGCCGTAAATTTGTCAAGCGCGAAAGCCCTTTTAAGAGCGTTATTGATCTTTTGTGGGTCCTTCCTGTCTTCCTCTGGCAGTTGGCGATACACAGACAGCGCGCCTCCCTTCAGTCTCAGTGGAATGACGACCTCTTGTCTCGTCTCCGTTTCTCCTGCGCGCTGGGAGAGCGTGCACACCATCTCGATCTTCTCTATCCACTCGAGAACGCACGCTCCGTCTGACCCATCGAACTCTGGGATTAATTTAACGTCAAAACTGGCCATACTGCCGAAATAGCTTGTAACTGATTGTATATGTTGTAACGCAGAGGCTCCGTTCCAGACTGTGTATTTGCGGCCGGTCACGGGGCTCACAGACACAGCGCCTGAGGCGACCAATCAGGCGTCCGCTGGCCGGCGCTGCCTGCGCCGGCATGGTGCACTGGGACCAGAGCAGCGGCCCGGGCACAGCAGCATTGTGCACCACAACACTCCTCCCCCTGGTTACAAAACCATCACCGTAACAAGAACATAACCGAAGAAAACACTTCTGCGAAAACCGAGTCATAGAGACGTGCCCATCAATATCGATCCGGAGCTCGCAAGGTCGCGCGATTCCTCAGATTGTACCCGTGGTGGCCGGTGGAGCCACCCGGCGTGCCAGTGGATGGTACGACGGGGAGAGCTGGTCTCGACTCCCCGGGTCCATTGGAGCAGCTGTCAGTGACGGGCTGCGGCCGGTGTGACGGACCGGAGCTGGGCACGGGAGCAGCGGCCGACACCGGTGCGGGATCCGGCGGGGCTCCGGTGGCCGGCACGCCTGGAACCGGTGCGGTCGACACGGGAACCAGGAGTGGACGTGGCACGGGTGGCATCACGGGCTCCACGGGGCTGGAAGGAAACACAACGTTTGAAGAAGTCGGCACAGTATGCTCGCTATACCGTCTCCTGACAACATCAGCATGTCGGACAACAATCCTACCGTCTGCGAGTTCGATGGTGAATTTCACACCGTTCACACCAAGCACGACACCAGGCACCCAGCGACACCGTTCGACCCCCCGCAAACGATCCACAGCCGAGACATACACTTTGTCCCCGATCGACAGGTCACGCTCACATGCCCCCCTAGCACGGTACTCTTTTTGCTCGGACTGTCTGTCACGGATGTGCTGACTCAAGTCGGGGCTAACTGCACTCAGGTGAGTACGGGGCTGTCTACCCAGAAACAGCTCCGCCGGAGAGCGTAAGGTCAGCGTATGAGGTGTAGTCCGGTAATGTAACAAAAACCGGGCCACTTTGGTCTCAACAGATCCAGTAACCTGCTTGTAAAAAACATTTTTAAAAGTTTGCACCGCCCGTTCTGCGAGACCGTTCGATTTGGGTGACATGCATGGGCTAATGAGATGTCTGATGCCATTCGTGTGACAAAACAGCTCAAATTGTCGGGACACAAACGCCTGGGCATTGTCGGTCACGATCACATTCGGCAGACCCCAGCTGGCAAATGACATCCGCAATTTATCAATCGTTGTTTCGGAGTCAGATGCACGAGTCGGATACACATCTAACCACTTAGAATGCGCGTCGATCAGGATCAAGAACATTCGACCATTTGTCTCACAGTAATCGATGTGCACCCTCTCCCATGGCCGTGATGGCCATCGCCAGGGGTGCAGAGGCGCCTCGGGGGCTCTGCCCTTCAGCTGCTGACATTTCCCACATCCACGGACAACATCGCGAATATCATCATCCATCTTAGGCCACCAAACGTACATCCGGGCTAACATTTTTGAGCGACTTTCCCCAGGGTGACCCTCATGTAAGAGGGTCACCAGACTCTGTCTTGAGCAGACTCTGTCTGCCTTGAGGCGGTATTACGACTCGTGAGCCCCACAAAACACAGCCCTCTTGGATGCTAAGTTCGCCCATACGGCTCTTGTACGGCTGAAACTCGGGGCCCAAATCAACCACTGATTCCCAGCCGCCGTCCCGCACACATCTATGAACCGCCAAGAGGATCGGATCTCGAGAGGTCCACAACCTGATCTGAGCCGCAGGTACCGGTGACGCATCCAAAAATTCTAACAAGTGAACCATCTCAGCCGGCACTGGCACGCTGGCGGGCGGGGAGCCCGCTGTGGGAAGCCGGCTGAGCGCGTCACAGTGCCCCTGTTTGGAGCCGGGCCGGTACTCCAGCCTGTAATCGTAGGCTCCGAGTAACAGAGCCCATCGAACCATACGTGGTGACGTCATTAACGGCAGGGGCTTCTGTTCTCCCAAAATCCCAAGTAGAGGCTTATGGTCGGTCTGAATCGTGAATGTACGGCCTGCTAAGAAGTAATGGAACTTTTTAACACCCGTCACTATCGCTAGCGCCTCCCGATCAGTCTGCGAATACCGCGACTCTGTATCACTCAACGACCGCGAGTAATATGCGATAGGACGTTCCCCATCTCGGGTGAGCTGACTCAGCACGCAGCCCACACCGACGGGGCCCGCGTCGCAGGCCACTACTACCGGCAAAGCTGGGTCAAAGTGAGCCAAAACGGGCGGTCTGATCAGCATGTCCTTAGCAGCGCAGAAAGAGGCGCTTTCGGTCTCGGTCCACTGCCATTTTTGATCCTTGCGCAGCAATCGGTACAAAGGAGCTAGGGTGCTGGCCAAGTTCTTAAGGAACTTTGCATAGTAATTTATCAGCCCTAGCCAACGGCGCAGCTCACTGACGTTCCGCGGTTCCGGAGCCTCCCGAATGGTCGCCGTTTTTTCATCCGTAGTCTCGATCCCCTTACTACTAATCCTGAGTCCCAGATACGTCATGCTTCCTACGCCAAACCTACATTTTTCGCGGTTGACACGAAGGCCGGCCTCATTCAAACGCCCGAGGACGACCCGCAGAGTGGAGTCGTAGCTTTCCTCGGTGGCACCCGCTACTACTAGATCGTCTAGAAATACCCCCACCCCGGGTATATCTGCTAACAACGTCTCGAGTGTACGCTGAAACAGTGACACCGCAGATGCGTACCCAAAGGTGAGTCGCAGCGGTCTCAGCAGTCCCCGAAGGGTGTTCACAGTCAAGTACTCACGGGACCTCTCATCCAGAACCAGCTGGTTATAGGCGCTCTTTAAATCGATCTTAGAAAACACCTGACAACCAGACAACTTTGAGAAGAGCTCCTCAACACGAGGTAAGGGGTACTGGTCTACCTTCGCAGCCCGGTTAACAGTCAGTCGGTAGTCCCCACAAATACGAATTTTCCCGTCAGTCTTGGGAACGACCACCAGGGGAGCAGCCCACTTACTGTGGCGGACGGGTTCCCAGAGTCCTTGCTGTATCTCCTTCTCCAGCTGCGCGTCCACGGCCTCCCGGTAAGCCAGAGGAACCGCCCTCGGCTTGAAGAAGCGCGGCTGCACATCTGGATCCACGTCAATGGTGACCTCGCCACCACGAAAACAGCCGAGCTCATCACGGAACACATGTGGAAACTCATCGAGTACCGGCTGCACACGAGACGCGGACGATACACGACACACTGTGGGCCAATCCAGTGGGATCTGACTCAGCCAGTTTCGGCCAAACAAACACGGGGCACTTCCCTTCACGATGATAAGCGGCAGCCTGGCCACCGTGCTCGACATCCACCGTTACCTGTCCGCACACCGATAGCTGTTCGCCGCTGTAGGTCTTCAGCGTGACGTTGCACGGCTCCAGGCTCGGGCCGCCGCTCGGCCAGAGCTGACGGAGCACGGAGTCGGAGCAGACGGACACCGCCGCCCCCGTATCCAGCTCCATGTCCACTGCCTTTCCATCAAGCACCACGCTCACCATCAGCGGCGGTCGTCGCTCACTCTCGGGCCGCACACTAAACATCGCGTAGGCCTCATCGATCGCCTCATCACTCGCGGGAGCCGCCACCTCTCGGCGCGACAGCTCGGCACTCTCATCACCGCACTGCATCACTGACGCCGACTGTGGATCCTCGGCCGACAGCTGGCGCAGCTGATGCTGACTCCCCCGTCCGCAGGCCACTCGGATGTGGCCGCGCTGGCCACAGGCGAAGCACCGCCGGCCCCGGAACGGGCACGCTGACTGAAGATGATCTCGAAGACATCGGGGCACTCCGTCGAGCCTCCACCTCGAACATCTCGCCGCTGCTGAGGAGGGCCAGCGGCCGTCGCAGGGCGCGGCGGGCCTCGCCGCGCCCCCAACTCGCCGCCGGCACCTCCGGCACGTCGCTCGGTGGCGCGCTCCACCCGCTGCACGGTCGAGTCGCCGGGCGCGCCGACTTCGTGCCCGCTGAGCTCTGCGGCACTAGCGGCAGCAGACTCGTGAGCCTGCGCCAGCTCCACTGCCAGTGGTAGCGTCAGATGCGGCTCACTCAGAAAGCGCGACTGCAGCCGCTCGTTCCTGATGCCGCAAACCAGGCGGTCTCGTAGCATCTCCTCCAAGATACCGGCAGAAAACTGGCAAGGCTTAGCCAGCTTCCGCAACCGCGCCAGAAACGCGCTGACTCCTTCCTGGGCCCCTCTGCAGCACGAGTGGAAACGGAATCGAGCCACGATCACCGAAGCCTGGGGCTCAAAATGAGCTTCCAGCACATCCACGAGGTGAGTGTAGGTGCAGTCACTCACGGCTGTCGGGGCCACCAGGTCTTCCAACAGACCGAACGTTCTTGCTCCGACGACACTGAGGAAAACGGCACGCCTCTTGCCTTGCTGATCCTCACCAGTGATGCCGTTAGCAATGAAATATTGCTCGAGTCTTCTGGCGTAGGATCCAAACGATTCAACTCCCGGGTCAAACTCTGGCGCCTTCCCAACACACGCCATCTCCCCACGCGGTTCGAATCGCCTCGTCGCCAATGTTGTAACGCAGAGGCTCCGTTCCAGACTGTGTATTTGCGGCCGGCCACGGGGCTCACAGACACAGCGCCTGAGGCGACCAATCAGGCGTCCGCTGGCCGGCGCTGCCTGCGCCGGCATGGTGCACTGGGACCAGAGCAGCGGCCCGGGCACAGCAGCATTGTGCACCACAACAGTATATATATTAACGCTCGACCACAACTGCGGCACACCCATCCCCGGCCGTCCCACGACTCCGACTGCCGGCCAGGCCCCGCCCACTTCCGCACCTGGCGGGCGGCGGCTGCGCTACGGGTAGGAGCCGACGCGCGAGACGGATCACAGCCCGCTAACCCGTAAATAACACTATACGGGCCAAAGCCCGCTGAACCATGGCTCACACATCACACACACAACACACACACACTCGTATCTCCGAAACTATTTGACGGATTCGGAAAACTCAAACGGCGTTCGATATTGAGTATTGAGTGAATTGTATTGAATTAAATTGAGAAAATTAATTTCATAGTGACTTCAGGGTCACTGACACGCCACAGGTCAGGTCAAAGTTAAAATGTTTCACCGTTCACGGGCCTTCTAGAAAATGCGCTATAACATATATTAAAAGGCATTTTATCGAAAATAATCGATAAAGCGTCGGTTGCCTAGTACAGATGTTGCTAAAAGACGTCACTGATACCAGGTCAGGTCACAGAGGTCAGGTCACCAAGGGTCAACACAGGTCACCCAACTTTACTAGGGCCGTTAGATGCATGTTTTGTGACCAATTTTTCAGTTCTAAGTCAATGGTGTTGGTTATAGGACCATCAGGAACGGTTTGGGTTCCTTCCTGGTGGAGGTCAGGTCAATAAAGGTCAGATTTCAAAGTTAATATTTTTGCATAAAATGGATATTGATTCGATGCACGGCGAGTCTAACGGTGGCCTTTGTTTTACGCTACGTGGTCTAGAATCGCTAAAAGCTGAGTTTGAAAATTTGACGTCATCATTTTTGAAGCTTTTCGCTCTAACTTGGCCAAAAAAGGGATATCGATCTGAAATTTGGCATGTGGATAGAGAACGGTGGGCCTACTATCAAGATTACTTTACTAATAAGGTTAGTTCACTAAAGGATTTTTGTAGCCTAGCTGACGCCACACAATATGGTAGCGATATGGTAGCCCTTTGGTAAGACATAAATGACTTGCGTGAGACATTCATAATGCAAGCTACAGGCATGGATGAGATATAGGTACAGGTAAATACCTGCCACACACTCGCATTTGGCCTTGAAATTAGTGCTATTGGCAAATTTGCGAATTTAGATCGGGCCACTGAGGATTCGGACAACTCTAGCTTTATTTATCAGATCGCTTATAATATCACCAGGTTTTCTGTCATTATTTTCCTTTAGCGTCTGTTCTGTTCAGAGTGTCTGTTCATCAGAGTCTGGTTTATATTGCACAATCAAATGCTGATGGAACTTTTCTTTAGGTGTTTGTCAGGGTTGTTCGAAAGTTTTTAAATTTTAAGTTGAGCATGACTATTAGATATGCAATATTAGACCTCATAACAATGCTGCATTGGCTAAATAAGTAACTAACTAAGCGATGGTCTGAGTAATGTACACCACTTGCCTCTTTATAGTTTTTGACACTTGTTCTAAATTGTAAAAACTAATAAAATCATTTTATTTTAACATTTAAATTTAAAATGTAATTTTAAATTTTAAAAATGTGGTAGTCGTAAAGCAGGCGTCACACTTAAAGTGACCATCCCACCTTAACATTAGTTTTGAGTTGAGATAGCCAAATTGGTGGCCATGGCCTGAAAATACTGGTTTGGGCACTCACAATATCGAAAAATGCCTTAATTCGGAGATATTGAATTTCAAACTTGCAGTTTTCGGATTCTAAGGGGCTAATGCATTGGTATGCCCCCTTAGAATTTGTGACGTCAGCGTAGATCTAGCGATTTTTAAATCTTTTACTAAAACGTTTGGTAGCACGCGGTGGAATATGCTGCTTTGCGCGCAACAAATGCCGCACTTCAAATAAAGTCGCTAGGAACGGCGGAGATTCCAAAAAGTAAACAAAAGTAAAAGTCAAGAATTTTTTATCCTCTCGTCAATCCGCATCGAATGATATATGATTTGACCTCGAAAGATCAAGGTCAAAGGTTGACCTCAGGTCACGTGACCTCGAGGTCATCATGCATATCATTCGATGCGTCTTGACGAGCTGAACACAATGAGACCATCCGCGCGGCTGTATCTTGTTCCTGTACGGAGTTATTGGCAAAAAACCGCTGGTGACCTTTGATGACGTCACATGACCTTACAGCTGCCCAACAGCAAAACAGACCTCAAGGTAGTGAAGGTTGATCGTATATGAAGTCATGTATGGTATATGGTGCCATTCCGACATGTAACGGAAGTTAGCCCACATTCAGCCCACATTCGGCCCAGCCAAGATTGGGGCTGCCAAATCTAGGGAAAAATCTAGAAATCTAGGGAAAAATCTAAAAACCGTTTTACGCCTAAACGGCTGGACGAAACTGAAAAATAAGACCACCATTTGAAAGATCTCTTCACCCCGGACCTAATGATATGGTTAAATACCGGATCAATTTAACCAAAAGCATGATTTGACCAGGATGAAAATTTTCGGTCAATGGGGCGGCCCCTACGATTTTCTTCAAAATCGGCATGGTGATACTACAGGCCGAGATGATCAATCTGGCTGAAGAAACCCCTATGGGCATTGAAATCTATGGGGTAAAAACGCCCTTGGAAAGTTTTACCCACGCATTTCTGGCAAGTGTATCGCACACATCCCCCCAATATGGGTATCATATGAAAGCCCATGAAAACCCAAACAAAATGGTGGGGTAAAATTTACCCATTACCCCATCCAGAGTAAAGTTTACCCAAGATGAACATTTTCGGTCAATGGGGCGGCCTCTACGATTTTCTTCAAAATCGGCATGGTGATACTACAGGCCGAGATGATCAATCTGGCTGAAGAAACCCCTATGGGCATTGAAATCTATGGGGTAAAAACGCCCTTGGAAAGATTTACCCACGCATTTCTGGCAAGTGTATCGCAAGCATCCCCCCAATATGGGTATCATATGAAAGCCCATGAAAACCCAAACAAAATGGTGGGGTAAAATTTACCCATTACCCCATCCAGGGTAAAGTTTACCCAAGATGAAATTTTTCGGTCAATGGGGCGGCCCCTACGATTTTCTTCAAAATCGGCATGGTGATACTACAGGCCGAGATGATCAATCTGGCTGAAGAAACCCTTATGCGCATTGAAATCTATGGGGTAAAAACGCCCTTGGAAAGATTTACCCACGCATTTCTGGCAAGTGTATCGCAAGCATCCCCCCAATATGGGTATCATACGAAAGCCCATGAAAACCCAAACAAAATGGTGGGGTAAAATTTACCCATTTCCCCATCCAGGGTAAAGTTTACCCAAGATGAAATTTTTCGGTCAATGGGGCGGCCCCTACGATTTTCTTCAAAATCGGCATGGTGATACTACAGGCCGAGATGATCAATCTGGCTGAAGAAACCCCTATGGGCATTGAAATCTATGGGGTAAAAACGCCCTTGGAAAGTTTTACCCACGCATTTCTGGCAAGTGTATCGCACGCATCCCCCAATATGGGTATCATATGAAAGCCCATGAAAACCCAAACAAAATGGTGGGGTAAAATTTACCCATTACCCCATCCAGGGTAAAGTTTACCCAAGATGAAAATTTTCGGTGAATGGGGCGACCCCTACGATTTTCTTCAAAATCGCCATGGTGTTACTACAGGCCGAGATGATCAATCTGGCTGAATAAACCCCTATGAGCATTGAAATCTATGGGGTAAAAACGCCCTTGGAAAGTTTTACCCACGCATTTCTGGCAAGTGTATCGCACGCATCCCCCAATATGGGTATCATATGAAAGCCCATGAAAACTCAAACAAAATGGTGGGGTAAAATTTACCCATTACCCCATCCAGGGTAAAGTTAACCCAAGATGAAAATTTTCGGTCAATGGGGCGGCCCCTACGATTTTCTTCAAAATCGGCATGGTCATACTACAGGCCGAGATGATCAATCTCGCTGAAGAAACCCCTATGGGCATTGAAATATATGGGGTAAAAACGCCCTTGGAAAGATTTACCCACGCATTTCTGGCAAGTGTATCGCAAGCATCCCCCAATATGGGTATCATATGAAAGCCCATGAAAACCCAACAAAATGGTGGGGTAAAATTTACCCATTACCCCATCCAGGGTAAAGTTTACCCAAGATGAAATTTTTCGGTCAATGGGGCGGCCCCTACGATTTTCTTCAAAATCG